AGAGAATGAAACACTAGGTTAAGATTATATGACTTAAATCATGAAATGCTAAATAAAGTATCCAACACCAAAATGACTTGGTTAATGTTCATCATAACGTCGCCAAAAATCTCCAAATGCTGCGTAGAAGATCTAAGAGATCTGTTTAAAGGCCAAATCTAAATACTTAAGGATTAATCCCTTATTATTTTCTCATTACTGTGACGTTTCTTTTAACAATTCTTACAAGCACAGTTCGTATGTCGCTTTGTCAGTACGAATACAAGGCTTTTCCTCCAGAATGGAAAATTGTTTTTTTAATTCATGAATCAGCAAACGCTGTTTCTTTTCGGAATCTTGGAAATTAATGCACAGTAAAAAATAACTGCATTAAAGACTGAAATCTCAACTCACTAGGCTGCATGCTACAATTCTGGGGAAAAAATGAAGCCGACATTGAAAAGTATATGGAGTTTGGCTTGCTTTGGAACCATAAACTAGTTCCAAATTTGCAAGAGACGTAAAGCGAAAAATTACTGCGTGGGAAATAACAATATAGTCTTTTGAAGGTTCAAACAAACACCCCCTCACTTCTCGTGCTAGCAGAATCAAAGTAACGTAGCCTCGAATGGCACAAATTCGCTCCGTATCAAAATCCAAAAATCTCAGCTTAAACACTCTCTTAACCCATTTACATTACAGTGAGGAAACGGAAAGGAAAATTTATAGTAACGGCTTAAATTTTTAAATGAATATTGCATTTAAATAGAAACACTTACGCATATTTAGTTCTGCGAAACATTTAGATTGGCAGCAGCAAGAGTTATAAGAGGGGTTTTTTTTTTTAATTGCGAAATGACTGTTTTACCAGAGACTGCATTATTTTTACTTCTAGCATATTCAGCAGGTTTGAAAATTTAACCAGATGATCATAATAGAAATGACAAACTGACCTTGACGCTGTCAAACATAATGACAAACCGGGCCAATTTCGGTTGAAACGAGACTTCATAAGAGCCTGTTCATAAAAGAACGACAAAACGTCTTAAATAAGATTTCTTTAACGTAAAAAAAAAAGTTTCTGAGTAATAGAAAGAGTGTGTAGATTGATGTGACAAATTTTCATAATCATATGAAAATAAAATGCTCATACCCTTAAATATAAATGAAAATTTATATATATAATCCAGCTATATTATTTACTAATTAGTTATGAAATTTTAAAGTTAATTAAACGTTTGTTCATTTAGTAAAATCACATTGTTTATGTAATTCAGAAATACAAACATTTTGGAAACGAAAGAGAAATATCATGAATTTTCTTAAGAAAAATTATAAATTGCAATGATAGAAGATAATGATTACATATGCAAATATCATTCATACTCTTTATACCTTAATAAAAAAGTAAGTGTTTTAATGCTGTTGATAGAATTAAGTATAAAAACTGTAATTAATGCATTTTTAAGACATAGATTGTTCAAAGCAATATGCGAAACTATAGAAAATAATATCTATGCAAAGCATATTTATTTGATGTACATAGTTTATGTATGATAAATAATGTATGAATTATATTAAACTTCTCTAATTTAATGCCTTTTCCCCATTATTTCAAAGGATTGCGTTATTCAGTTATGGCAAAGCACACGATGGCTATCTGCATAAAGGGAGGGATGGAGGACTTTCTAAGGGAAACTGGCTCGTATACACGTTACACATGGAAAAAACCACGAAAACGTCCATGCAGCCAGCCCGTTCTCGGGATTCGAACCTCGGACCGAACTACCAGTGTTCAGAGTCTTTACCGCTCGGCCGCTGGTGGGCCATTATTGAAACGGATAACCTTCTTAATTTGACACCTATTTTCCCATTACTACAACCTAAACCCAATGACAGGCGTAAGCCTTGAAAATATATTTTCATTCGTGACTGACGAATTTCATCGCATGAAAATGCCTTATTTTTTTAATTATTACAGTTAAATATAATAGGTTCACTCGACAAAATAACGTTTTAAATGTGTGTGTGTGTGAGTATGGCAAAGCCTCGAGGGCTATCTGCTTAAGAGGAGGGATGCCTTCGTGGAGGACTTTCTAAGGGAAACTGGCTCGTATACACGTTACACATGGGGAAAACCACGAAAACGCCCATGCAGCCAGCCCGTTCGCGGGATTCGAACCTCGGACCGAACTACCAGTGTTCAGCGACTTTACCGCTCGGCCGCTGGTGGGCCTCGTTTTAAATGAATTTTAAGTTTCTGTTGAAGTAATAAATAGCTTGAGATGTTGTTTTTCTGTATCATTCGTAAAATTGTCAATGTTGATACCTATGCAAAAGAACAGTGGCGTGTATATAAGAACTTTTGCCATCCGCGGCGATCCCATATTTTACCGCTCCTCTTGATACACAAACAAGTTAGTGTATCAAGAGGATATCAAAAAATATATATCAAAAGTATGTCAATGTGTCAAAAGAATATCAAATAAAATAAATAAAAACACATTTTTACAGAAACTTATTTTTAAACACAAACTTATTTTTAATGAAAAAGTTTAATTTTAACATTTTAAAATTATTAGTTTGCTTATTTTCAGTTCGCAAAACTGTCAGTGACATTGTAGAGGTATATTTGATTATTTTAGCTGTTATGTAGACAGTAAAGAAAAATTTCTTGAATGAAAAACCACATTTGTATTTATTTCGATTTTTCTGGTCCGAATATATCTTTCTTAATAACGAACTGTTTCTCATTAATGTCACTATAATCATAATTTAGTTAATATTCGTAATTTGCATTCAAAATTTTCCGAAGTAGAAAGAAAGCTATGAAAAAAGCACGTACCTATAGATATCAAGTGGCGATTTCTTTCCATATTTTTTACTCGTGTTTTTCTCAATTCTATATGGCAAATTAATTATTCTTCACCAGCCTCGATGATTCACCTTACTAAATCCTATAAAAAGAAGGTTTTACGCGAAAAATGCCGCCCCTAAAAATCTCGCTTCGGGTAGGGCCGCCACTCTTTAGCTACGTCACTGTACCAATCTGTTTGATTTCTCAATAGATTTAAAAAATAATTGCTAAATTAAGCTGGAGGCTGGGGCAGGAGATACATTTTTAAGGGAACTTCCGCATTAAGATTTTTCAATGCTGAAAATTGAAGATTTCATATGTAAATTGCGCGATATTTCGATGTAGACAAAGGTTCTTCATATAGTCCTTTATTAGATTAGAACTTGCAGTATGCATTAACAAATGTTGGAGAAGAATAAATGTTAGAAAGAAGAAAAATGGTTCGTGACAGCTAAATACATAGGTAAGTTTTCCAATTATGCAAATAAAGTATCCTTGAAACTTTTACCAATAGTCAGACCCAAATCTTTTGTAAGTAGTTTTCTAAAAGAAGAATGAATAATATTTTATTTTGTGCGACATATAAACTAATGCTCTTCAACGAAGTTCTTTATTCTGACATAATATCACTCACATAACTAGAGGAACATTCAGGGAAGCAAGTTATAACATATTAATAATTTTTCCTCACCGGGTATTTCTATTTGCTGTCTTGTTTTATACTGAATACTTCAGACAAAAAACTATGCAATATTAATTCTTGGTACTATTCCGTTTTGATGGCCGTAAAAAACTGCAACGAAAATGTATGCGCAAAAGCGCCAAATATAGCACACGCGCCGATTTAGCAGCGCGCCAAATCTAACGTATGCGCTGATTTCAGATTGCGTAAGTTTAGATAGTTCCTAGTATTTCTTAAGACGCCATTGAAATACTAGTTTAATTTTTAAATCCTTTTTTGATATCCTATGTTGACTTAACAATTTCGGGATTTGCGCATGACGAAAAATCTGCAATAGAAGAATGTTTTCAAAGAAAAGGCATTCATCATTCATTATAGAAAATTATGTTTGAACAACCAACGAGATGAAATTATGCATTGGCGATAACTCGGTAGCGAAAATAGCGATGCAGGAATCCATTCAGTTATGTTTAGCCTTTTTTTTATATAAATTATAATAATGATCTGAAATAGTTTTTTACCCTTATGTCTTCCATTCAGATATGTTTAGCCTTTTTTTATATAAATTATAATAATAAGTATTATATGAAATTAACCTTTCATCTAAATTAAAACAATCTTAAATAGTAATTTACTATTATACTTCCTTTCTTGCATTAGGGTTGCCGCAATTATTTTTGGCAGCACTGGCATCAACAAGAGTTTGCCGATGTTTTACGGTCCTCAAAACGGATTAGCACCCAATTTTTTTTCTGATTATGTGCAAGACAAATAGTAAAAATAATTTTTTCTGTACAAGACAAACCTACGTTTCTCGGATAAGATGACTGGCCTCTCAATGACCCTTGAATAATATATTTGTTCTAAAAGTAAACCTGAAAATAATTTGGTTTAAAACATTTCTGATTAGTGAGTCTATATCTCGGAAATACGTTATAGTAAATAATCTGGAATTCCGGCTATATCCGGACCACAATTAAATCTGTACCTTTTATTCAGCAATTTTAAAATTTTACAGAAAAAGGTACAAAGTGAGAAACTAATCGAACGTACGGACCCCCATCATTAAACATTTACTATTCAGGCGGGGCGTCTGGTAAGCCTGTTCATAAGAGAATATTTTTAACCAAACATTTTTAATGATTTCTCCAATATTAAAAACAAGTTTCTGAATAATGGAAAGAGTTTAAATTGATGAACGCATTTTCATAATCATGACGGAATGAAAATAAAACAATCATAACTTTACAAAAAAATGAGAACATGTATATAAACAATCTAATTAAGTTATTTGTATTTACGACATTTTAAATAATTACTACATTTTAAAAGTTATTTAAACGTTTGTTTATCTAGTAACATTATATTTTTCATTTACTCATTCATTCTTTCATACTTTCATTTAATTTACATTGCATTATTTTTAATTCAGAAGTACAAACATTTTAGAAATAAAATAGAAATTTAATAAATTTTCTCAAGAAAAAGTATACATTGCAGTGAGAAAAGATAATAAATACGTATACAAACATCATTCATAATCTTTTACCTTATTGCAGCTACAGAACGAAAAAGCAAATGAATAAACATATGGTTTTTATTACTAATTAAACACTTTAGATAAAAAAGAGATTTCTGTGAATGGTATTAAAAACTGATGCATAAAAACTATGAGTAATTAATGCACTTTCAAGACAAGCGTTTTCAAAGCAATACGCGGACTTAATTGAAAGTCATATCTATGCAAAGAATACCTTTAACAATTCTTTTCGTAGCATTTTTAATTTAAAAACATTTATGAGTTAAAATATAAGCATAATAATGTAAAAACAGAACACACATATTCCAATAAAATGCTATATTACCGTCACTTACGTACAAAAAATCAAGTACAATACTTGCTTTTTAATTTACTTCAAGATAACTGCAATCTAAACATTGTAAACACGAAACCTGTTAAAAATCATCTGTAATTTACAAAAATGACACTGTATTCATTCCCATATATTATACTAATTTCCCAATATGAATCAGACTGGATGATAAGATTTGTTGAGTGACAAAATATCGATCATGGAATAAAAAATACGTCACACACTATCACTGTGTTTGGAATGCGATTTTTCAACAACCTCAGATAAAACTTTAGTCGCTAAGGGGGAATTTTCTTGCTGAAGAATTATCCACGGTTCTGTTGACTTCACGTACTGGAATGAAGAGGCGATAAAAGTAATTGCTTTCTGCATCATTTCTTTATCCTTGTGCTTATCAGCTAAAATTAACGTTTCGACAGCTGATGTAATAGTCAAATAGGATATAATTATATCCCGACACATATCTTTGAGATCCGATACGAAATACTTTTCAGCTGCAAAATACAAATCATGGGCCCTTGAATAACTGGACGGGTTTATTTTACCACAATAAAAAAACTTCAGCAGCTCTTCCAGGATATCAGGGTCGATATCCGTGATGTCTATTCGGTTGTCGTTGCTTTCAGTGGTGACTTGTTGGAACATCTTAGCAAATACTGGAGATCTGGCAGAAAGCACGCACTTGTGAACACGGATTTTCACGCCTTTGCAGATGACAATTAAATCGGAGTGATCCTGCTTTTCATACATTTCATGCATATCGCACAACAGCTTAGGGAAAGTTGACAGAGGCTGCACAGATTTTTCTTCAGTTTCTGTTAATTCTGTAATCCATGCATCCAAGTTTACCATTACTTGTTGCTCGGGAAATTGGTACCGAGTATTTTCTAAAATTGTTACATGCTTGGTATCGCTGTCCATAATATAATCCAAGCAACGCTTGAAAATAGTATCATATTTAAAAAGGTAATATACAATTCCTCTGATATGAAGTTTCTTACCAGAATTTTCCCTACACAGCTGCACAGTAATCGTTGATGAAATATCGTTAACTGAGATGTAGTTCAAGTACCATACCGTACACATTGTTGGAGGAGATGGGAGACTTCGAAATTCTGCCCTCAAACCTTCGAGTGCCTCAACATCCCATTTATAAAACAGGGTGTTCCAACTGATACCCAAGTGTTTGCACGCCATTGAAATCTGATATAATTACACCGCACAAATCTGATCTTACATTTGACCGAAATTCCTCCTCAAATGCTAAGCTCACTATACATTATTGTCATGATACCGAGCAGGCGGCATGTTTAAAAAGAAGGACGCCCTCTAAGATAAGCTATGACGTACTTCTTTCTTTTCGCCAAAATCTCAATACCAAGGACATACAAATGAGACAACAGGGATGCTTATCGGCTGCTTACGGAATAAACGTTATGGGCATGCCAACGGACCCTGCCAACGCTTATTTGGCTTAGACTTTTGCCTTAGGCTTTATCAAACCTCATAAATTTTCGGAAGCGATAAATCAGTTGCATCGTTTTTTTTTTTCATTTTTTACATACAAGGTGCATTTATAAAGTAACAGGACAATTGTACTACTCTTCACTCCTATAAAATAATCACCAGAGAAGTGCATACAATTTTCCCAATCATTCTTCAGATCATCGAAACACCGTGTATAAGTGCTAGAACTAACCTTTCTCAGAACACGTATAACATTTGATATAATATCCGAGAGGGTTTCAAACTGATGCCCTTTCATGGCCATCTTAAGGTTTGGAAAAAGTAAAAAAAAAATAGCTAGCGATAAGTCTGAAGAACATAGTGAGATATATATTACTGCAACTGAATGCTTAAATTTTGTTAAACAGACAATACTGCACTGGGCCTCGTATTTTCGTGTATACGAAACCGCTGGCCAGAACCTTAGGGTTTTATATTTAAAATGATTTTTGTTAATTGCTGCGGTTATCTTATGCCATTCAATACAATTACTATGCTGTCTAATTTACTTAGTAACGCAAACTAAATAAAGTACTCGAAACTGTAAAAAAATAATAATATTATATTATACTTTAGTGTGTATTAAACGGAAAAGTTTAAAAACTTAGAACTAAATAAATCAATATGTTAAGGAGAAAAAAATCAAATAACAGACATTCAACAGAAAAAAAGAAGTTTATGATAAACATTTCCAGCAGTTTTCTATTTAAAATAAGCGACAATCATTCCTTCAGTTTCGTAAAAACAAAAACTAATTTTAAAGGCAATGTGTTTCACACGCCATAAAAACCTTTGATTTATCTCTCATTTTTATGAGTGCAATAAATTAACCTTATCCTAAATACTACTATGCTTAATAATTTTATGCTTGTATTAGTTTTAAAGTCATATATATAATTCAAAACTTTAATAAATATGTACAAAGAGCATGCAATTAACAAAAGACGTTTCTGCATATACCTAGGTTTGGTTTGGTTTGGTTTATTACATTACGGAAAAGCACTCGAGGGCTATCTGCCTTTAGGGAGGGATGCCTTCGTGGATGACGTTTTAAAGTAAACTGGCTCGTATACATGTTACACATGGGGGAAACCACGAAAATACCCATGCAGCCAGCTCGTTTGCGGGATTCGGACCAAACTAACAGTGTTCAGCGACGATACCGCTCGGATGCTAGTGAGCCACATATACCTAGGAGCCCTCTTGTTTGTGAAATAAAACGAAAATAATTTTAAAAAGATTTTATATGAAATTATACAAATTTTTCCTTTTTTTGGAGTTCTAGAGAAATTTCAGATCTCTCAAGAAAAGATTGTTTGAGTATTTTCTCTTTCTTAGGAAGAAGCAATATCATAGATCTTTAGGATTTATGGATTAATTTCGAAACTTCGTTATCCCAAAATGATGCTACAGCATCTTTCTGCTAATATCTGCCTGTAAGATATTCGGAGACGTTCTAGATATTCTAAAATGGAATACGAGTAATTTAAATAATTTATGCGACTGTTATGTGACCATCAACAGTCGGCAGCATAGACGTTTTTTGTTTGATGTTGAGCAGTTCCCAGCCAAGTGCAATGAAGAGTGAAAAGTCTAATTCTTCAGCTAAGATTCTTTTTCAGTGGCTAGGCATTTTGTGGGAAGTAATATGTAGGGAATGTACGAACTCAAGGAACTTTTATCCGCCAAATAACCGAAACGTTTGCCCAGAATTCGATAAAATGAAAGCAGATAAGGGTATCAGTTCCTTATCGTGGACCAATGCCCCTTGACTGCAAAATTTCTGTGAGTAAAATATGTTTTTAAGGTGCAATACGTCTCCGGCATAAATCCACATTTTTCATGTCTCCTGTTTAAAAAAAATCCAATGATTCTACAAACGGCGCCCGAACTAAAAGGCGGTGGACAATGATTCCTCACCACCAAGATTTGGCGTTTGGGTCCCCTAATTCCCATCACCATTTAGAAGGTATATTCTTCCTCCTTCCAGTATGCCTTCGTGGTGTAGTGAAAGCATACTCAATGCGTATTTCAGAGGTCCATGGTTCGAGTCCCGGTGAGGGTATTGCACATTTTTCACGTATCCTGCTTTAAAAACAACCTATTGACTCTACAACCTTGCGTTTGATCCCTCTGACAGAAATCTTTAGGTATGTGTTACAACTAATATATTTTAAAGATACAATTAACTGAAATTCATTTAATTTTATATTGGTATTAAGTTAATAGCAGGAAATTTATATTTGGTTTTAATAATTCAAGGCTATTAGAGTTCGGATAATCTTTAACATCTTTTTAATTAACCCATTATTTACAAGGAACAAGTTAGGAACATTAACTACAAGGCCAAAACTACAAGGAATGTTTCTTTTCTCATGAAAATAATAACAAATATTAAATTAAGCATTTATAACATAAATTTACATTAAAAATAAAAAAAATTCTCTTACCTGTGGAAAAAGCGAGTGTTGCGTTCGCGCAACGTCAGCGGAATAAGACGGATGTTTAGTGAGTAGGATTGTACTCGTGTGATGTTTCTTTTGAATGGAGCGCAGGATTACTTTTTTTTACGTTTTACGGATAACTTTTATAAATCTACAAATCACTTTACTTGTAATTAATTTAATATTAAAATATACATTGTATTTCTTTTACAAATACAGATTATTTCATTTGAAAGATTCAAGCATGAAAAGCTTGATTACAATCATGATGTAAAGCTACATTACATACTTTGCATCTATAAACAGTCTGGCTATGGTACTCTTTACAACAAAGTCTTTTGTTATCAACGGACTTAACGATAAATGTCTATCATCTCCATGCAACGCTTTTGAATGCTGAATTTACTACGTCTTCCTGTTGCTGATCTATTTCTGGCTAATTCTACACTCTCAATAGGAAGTTTGCAAAAGGAATAATGCATTCGCGCGTCTGAAATCTAAAAGAGAAACTTTATTTCCAGTAGTAAAAAGTGGTGATATTTAGTAAGTTAGATACGGTGTCACCTCATATAATTTATCAGTATTGTCAATTTGACTATTGTCAAATGCAAATTCTGCTTCATATTCTTGTACTGGAAACGTGAATACATTTTTTCTTGAGGTAAAGAATGATATCCTGTAAACAATAATATTCCAATAAATCTTCTCATATAGGCTTCAAATGCAATAAATTCACGGCATTTGTTTTGAGCGTATATATTTGTCTGTTCAACGAGAAGAGAGTAAACGTCTAAACCGAAACGAAAATCGAAAATATGAGCACAAGTTTTACCTTGTGTTTTGTCTTTTATAATTTCTCTTCTATCTCTTTCTTCATGTTCTTCCTGAGACATAACTAACAGTTCCTTTTTTATCCACTTCAAGATTTCAGTCTTCTGCTTTTTAAACTTTTTAGTATCACTATAACTGCTTTTAGAAGGCTGAAATTTACTTCTTACGTGAATTTCAAATTCCTCAGCAAATATAATTTGGTAAAATCATTATTATTTAAAACATTGCCATTCCTTTCGTCACTAGCCTCTGCAATTTCTGGGGGAACAACAACAATATCAGTTTCATTCTGGTCATTATTAACATTATCATCATATTTTTCTTCACCAAATAATCTTTGAAGGGCTTCTTCTAATGTAAGACACCCTCGTTCTAGGCATTTTTTAAACAACCAGAAAATGAACCAGAACATCGAAAGAAAAATGAGTGAAAAAGGAGATTGACTACCCGTTTCCTGCTGACGTTGCGTCAACGCAACACCTGTTTTCCCTTCCTTCCCAACACAAATATAAACATCTGACTAATGTAATGTTCTAATAAACGGTGTCCTTGACTGAAAATAGATCACTCATAAAGACGGCGATTCTTTTGGTAAATATTTTCAGCAAAAATACCCGGTCGAAAATTTTGCTTAAAGTATGAGAATAATTATTATAAACAAAATGATTGTTGAAGGCAAATACTTTTTTACAGAAATAATCTTCATAATATTCACTACACAAAATCATCTGCTGGTATAAAATATCTTAGGTAGTTATATTTATATACGCATTTATTGTGACCGTTGCGTGAACGCAACACCAGCGGCTAATGGGTTAAAAACGAAATTAATATTGCTCATATTTTATGACAGGGATGAGCCTGCCATTTCTTGCGCAACTATTCAAGAATGGATCTGCTCTGAGAATGATAAATACATTTGAAGTAATTTAAATTTCTCTTTTGTTGCAAAGACTAGAGGGACTGCGTCCACGTTCAAAGTAACTGGTTTTAAATTTCATAAATTATCAGTCTTGATAGAAAAACTGATAGAAAATTTCCATATGTAATTTCCAAGCTTTAAGATTTTCAGCTTAGTTTATCTGAATTTATTTTTTCGCTCTTTTTGCTAATCTCGGAGGCAAGGGCAAGATCGGAGGACCTCGTGTAGTCCACAAACCACAGTTTGAGAAATGCTGGCTTAATACACTCTACGCTGCAAAAGACTTGAGTAGACAAAAGGCGGGGAAAAACTTGGCGAACTGGTACATTTCTTATTCAGATGGAAAAGCTTCATTTTGATGATATTTTATCTGGAGGTTTTCCTTTTTATGAGAAAAATTATATATTTGGGAATTATTTCTGATGAGTGAAGAATGCGGGAGTTTTCTCTTAGTAGGAATTTAAATATATAATGTTGACAGTTTCTTAATTCATCGCAAATGAAATCTGGCGCGAGTTTATTTATAATGCACACATAATTAAATCCATAATGTAGCCGCGAAAAAAGAGAAAACATATACACAAGCACTAAGCTCGTATATGAGATTCGAAAATTCACTTTGGAAAGTTTGATGTAACAGTCAGTTTCCGCTAAACGTTCTACTGTCTAGGGTGAATCCACGAGTAGGGTTTGAATACAGAGCATCCTG